TCCCCAACGTCCCTAGTGTCCCCAGTGTCCCCAATGTCCCCAATGTCCCCAATGTCCCTAGTGTCCCCAATGTCCCCAATGTCCCCAATGTCCCCAGTGTCCCCAATGTCCCCAATGTCCCCAGTGTCCCCAGTGTCCCCAGTGTCCCCAATGTCCCCAGTGTCCCCAGTGTCCCCAGTGTCCCCAATGTCCCCAATCCCCTCAGTGTCCCCCCAGTGTCCCTCTCCCCCCCAGGTGTCCGGCTGGGAGCAGCTCCCGACGTCCCTCCGGGGCCACCTGGCTGGGGCTGAAGGATGAGGATTTCCTGGAATTAGGGGACGAGGATTTCCCGGGATTGGGATCGAAGAATGAGGGTTTCCCGGGATTGGGATCAAAGGACACGGATTTCCCGGGATTGGGATCAAAGGACACGGATTTCCCGGGTTTGGGATCAAAGGACACGGATTTCCCGGGATTGGGACAGAAGGACAAGGATTTCCCGGGATTGGGACAGAAGGACAAGGATTTTCTGGGATTGAAGAGCAAAGATCCTCCAGGGCTGGGATCGAAGAACAAGGATTTCCCAGGATTGGAATCGGAGCATGAGGATCCCCCAGGATCGGGATCAAAGAACAAGGATCCCCCGGGATCGGGATCAAAGAACAAGGATCCCCCGGGATCGGGATCAAAGAACAAGGATTTCCCAGGATTGGGATGGAAGAACGAGGATTTTCCGGGATCGGGATCAAAGAACAAGGATCCCCCGGGATTGGGATGGAAGAACGAGGATCCCCCGGGATTGGGATGGAAGAACGAGGGATTCCCAGGATCAGGATCGAAGAACGAGGATTTCCCGGGATCGGGATGGAAGAACGAGGATTTCCCGGGATCGGGATGGAAGAACGAGGATTTCCCGGGATCGGGATGGAAGAACAAGGATCCCCCGGGATCGGGATGGAAGAACGAGGATCCCCCGGGATCGGGATGGAAGAACGAGGGTTTCCCGGGATCGGGATGGAAGAACGAGGGTTTCCCGGGATCCTCGGATCCCCGGAAGGACGGGGCTGCCCCGGTCCCGAAGCGGAGCCCGGCGGAGCCTCCGGAGCTCCCCGAGCCCGGCAGGTAACGGCAGCTCCCGGGAACTGCCCCGGCATCCAGGAGATTCCCGGGCCCGGGATCCCAGCCCAGGTGTGCCCAGGGATGGCCCAGCTGTGCCCAGGTGTGCCAGGGGATGTCCCTGTCCCAGGTGTCCTCCAGGTGTGCCAGGTGATGTCCCTGTCCCAGGTGTGCCAGGGGATGTCCCTGTCCCAGGTGTCCCAGGTGATGTCCCTGTCCCAGGTGATGTCCCTGTCCCAGGTGTCCTCCAGGTGTGCCAGGTGATGTCCCTGTCCCAGGTGATGTCCCTGTCCCAGGTGATGTCCCTGTCCCAGGTGTGCCAGGTGATGTCCCTCTCCCAGGTGATGTCCCTGTCCCAGGGGCTGTCCCTGTCCCAGGTGTCCTCCAGGTGTCCCAGGGGATGTCCCTGTCCCAGGGGCTGTCCCTGTCCCAGGTGTCCTCCAGGTGTCCCCGGGAATGTCCCTATCCTGGAATTCCCCCACCTGAGCTCCTCCCCCCTCCCGGCCGAGGCTCCCCTGGCTCAGCTCACCTGGGACACAGGTGTCACCTGGGAGGACACAGGTGTCACCTGGGCGGGCTCAGTGTCACCTGGGAGGACACAGGTGTCACCTGGGAGGGCTCAGGTGTCACCTGGGACTCAGGTGTCACACCTGGGAGGGCACAGGTGACAGGTGGCACGGGTGACACAGGTGATAAGAGGTGGCACAGGTGACACAATACAGGTGATATGGCACAGGTGACACAGGGGAGATGGCACAGGTGGCACAGGTGACAGAGATTACCCAGGTGGCACAGGTGACAGAGGGGGCACAGGTGGCAGAGGTGACATGGCACAGGTGACTCAGGTGGCAAAAATGGCACAGGTGACACAGGTGACGTGGTACTGTGGCACAGGTGGCACAGGTAGCACAGGTGACATGGCACAGGTGACTCAGGTGACACAGGTGACATGACACAGATGTCACAGGTGACAAGGCACAGGTGACACAAGTGGCACAGGTCAGGTGGCTCAGGTGACACAGGTGACTCAGGTGGCAAAAATGGCACAGGTGACTCAGGTGGCACAGGTGACGCAGGTGACTCAGGTGGCACAGGTAGCACAGGTGAGGCGACACCGAGGCGCAGGTGACTCAGGTGGCACAGGTGACTCAGGTGACACAGGTGACATGGCACAGGTGGCTCAGGTGACTCAGGTAGCACAGGTGGCTCAGGTGAGGCGGCACCATGGCGCAGGTAGCTCAGGTGACACAGGTGACAAGGCACAGGTGGCACAGGTGAGGTGGCTCAGGTGACTCAGGTGACACAGGTGGCCCAGGTGACAAGGCACAGGTGACACAGGTGGCTCAGGTGGCTCAGGTGGCACAGGTGGCACAGGTAGCACAGGTGAGGTGACACAGGTGGCACAGGTGGCTCAGGTGGCACAGGTGAGGCGGCACCGAGGCGCAGGTGGCCCGGGCGGGGTGGGCCCTGCCCCTCTCCCGCTCATTCCCGCTGGGATCTGTTCCCGCTCATTCCCGCTGGGATCTGTTCCCGCTC